TAAAAAATTTATATCTTTTTTTACTTGGATTAAGCATTTTTGGTAATGAGAAAATCCCTCGCTGGGTAGGGGAAGAATGTAGAATGTAAATAGTAATTTTTATGTTCATAATAAAAGAAATTTTATGTCCTACAAGCAAAGCTGACTGAGTCATTAAAGTTTCAGGAGTGGAAAAGCACCTGAATGGAGCCTGAGTGTGTGTTCAGTGAGGTCTACAGCAGTAGGAAGTCTTGTCCTTCCCTCTGCATCTCTTCCTTTCTCCACAGCAACACATGATAGCTGAGAAGGTTGGGAATTCACCAACAAAAACTTTGGTTCAGTGAGGACAAAGTACCTTTAGAAATACCATCAGTTTTGCAAAGGCTTTAGTAGAAGGTTTCTCCAATCACAGGTAGAACATGCAATTGAGAAGGACTGCAGAATCATAGGTACTGCTTACTTTCTTTTACATCTTCCCTTACACGTCTATTTTTCTTCTGATTAGAAAACTAAGAGAGATGGAGGTGAAGTGTGCAATATCAACCATGAATACAAACGTGAAGCCTTAAATAGCCATAAAACTCAGGTCTTAGGACAGTACAATTCCAGTGAGCCATATCCCCTCCTTCTCAAAAGATTGCACCGAAGAGGGCAACTGCGAATCAGCAAGTACATCCCTTTTTGACAGCTGCAGCTACAAAGCGGTCTCTTGTGGTTGGAAGGCAAGGGGCCAACGTGCCTAGAAAAGACAGGTTGTGAGCAGCTGTTGTTGTGCCTATGTGAGAGCACTCGAAGACTGAAAGTGGGAAACTGGAGGAATGCATTTGGGTTTTATAGCTGAAATTGGGATACAGGTGAAATTTGCTATAGAAACAGCTAAACAGACCCAGAAATTTTGAAAGCCTGCATCGTGACTGGTAGTTACACTGAGAATGAATGTTGCCTGCTCTTAGTTTTCCCCTGAGATTGAATCAAGCTTGTGATCAGACAGATTAAGTCTGTGTGTGAAGGTTTGTAGACATTTACAGAAATCCCTAGGGTCCGAGTTGTACATTACAGAAACAACTGATGATGAGTATCAGCACCTTTCAGACTAAATTTATTTTCGTGGCCAGATTCTTAATTAGCAGCATGTTTCTTGCTCCTTGCTTGAGAATATTGTCCTCATGTCAGTAGGGAGAAAGCTAGTAATGCAAATGTACATCTTCCAGGCCATCTGCTCTAACCTGTCCCAGCACAGCCTCTTTTCCTTTGCTGTGTTCTACTTTAATATAGTTGCTGACTGTGCATAAAGCCATTATACTCTCTCTCAACATACCTGAGGGCAGTGCAGTACCAGTGGCTGTGCCACGTACGACCCCATGTTTCTCAGCTCTCTTCAGGTTGTGGGTGAACCCCTGGGTCCAGCCCAGAGCGTCTGTTGGAGATGAGGAGATGGTGGTGAGAAGGCTGGGGAAGGCAGGTGGCAGCTGAGGAGAAGATGATGGTGTTCGCCCCCAGTGCTGTGGAGACTGGGCAGCAGCCGAGCTGCCCTCTAGCTGCATTAATTTGGCTCTTCTCTGGTGTGAGTCAGGGCTGGATTTTGGGGGGGAAAGCCCCCTGTGTCAAGGGAAGCCATGTCAGGGAGGGCGGTGAGGTGAGGTGTTTCCATGGCGACCCAGAGAAAATGGCTGCCAGCCCTGCCTGGGCCAAAGGGCTGAGGGAAGCAGGGCCGAGGGGTGCTGCGCACAGGACCCAGTGGCACCCGAACACCCGCAGAGGCAGCAGACACCCGGCACAATACCAGGTAAGCACAACTAGTGGCAAGAAATGCCTTTTTTGAAATGGTTTTATTTGCAAAGGCTGGATAGCACAGATTAATGTCTCCACGAGTGGGTAGGAAGCAGAGGCGAGGCCTGAGCTGCTCCGCTTGGAAGGGGAAGACGTGTGGCAGCATCCCCGGCTTCTCAGCTGTAGTATAAACTCAGGTAGGCCACTCGGTCCCGGTGTTTCCTGAATTCTCTGTCTATGGTCAGCTAAAAGACAACTACTACCTGTTAGAAATTAGCAATGACAGTTGTTTCAGAAAAGCGCAGGAAGAACTGAGATGGTGTCGAGAACCTTAACCTATGTTTTAAATCAGAAAGGTTTTCTTTTCAGCAGAGCTACATGGGGAAGTCTGTGCTTTTGTTCTCTCACTTTGAGAATGGAAACTTAATAGAAGTTTTTTTTGAAGGACTGTAACTGGTTTTGCAAACCAGCATTTTCAGATAGAAAATCGCTTTATATCTTGTGCCCCAGGCTCGTAGAGACACATACCCAGCAGGCCAGTGCGGAAAGGATGACAAAACATAGTGCAAATGTGTTGAAGTAATCATATGATTTCCTTTGTCAGAAGCATTGAGCCAGGAATAACACCCCCTTGTCCCTGTCCTTACCTTCTGTACCTCCATTTTTAGCATCCTCTTTGCTGGCATCGGCACTAAAGACCAGTCTGGAGACCCAAACTTCATTGGCCAAGTGATTTTTTTGTGTAATTGCTTGTCTGCTTCATAAGTTCCAGGTCTAAAGAAAACAGGTACAAAATACCTCATTTCTGGAGCTGGTGTATGATGTTTGCAATACCGGGATTTATCAGCCCTACCTTGATCAATGGGACAAATGCAAGTTGTGGTATTCTAGTCATCATGCTAAGTTAAAGGCTAAAACAGGGGAGCTTTCTGAAGATAAAAAAGCATTACTAGGAACTCAGTTACCTATCTCCCATTTGTGTCTCAGTATTTCTCTCTGCTAGTACTTCTGCTTATTATTAAAAGTGTAAGAAAATGAGTTACGTTACCCAGGGAAAAATTCTTTATCTGAAGGCTTATCTGAGAATCGTGGTGTCTTAATGGAAAATGGAGCATAGGCAGGCTGGCATTTTCTATCTTTCTTCCAGAATGACTGGTATGTTGCTGGGCTGGGAGTCACAGTCTGCAAGAGAGAAAATTTCTATATGGAAGATTTTGTTCTGCAAACCATTCCTACATACTCTGATCAGCAGACAGCTGGGCATTACAGACCTGCTGTTCAATGCATGCTTTGGCTACTCTGATAGCGTAAAAAAAAATCAGAACAAGTCAATGATGCACTCCTTACCCACTATATCCTGTGATGTCTCTCCTAATATTGTTATTCTAAGAAGTTGGGCCAGAAAACAATAGTGTGTTTGTTCAGGTAGCATAGCTGAATTCCCTCCTTGATTTTACCTAAAATGTACATTTACATGTGTGTGTATGTGATACAAAGGAATGTGTATTTACAAATGCATGTGGTGTTGTTGCCAGAGCTCATATGATCAGTCATCGGTCTCTAAGCTCAACACCTCCCACTAGACTATGTGTACAGAGAGCTGTAGCTACCGTATAAAGTTGAGGCAGCCCCAGCAAATGTGATTGAAACTGATAGTCTATGTTGGGAACAGCCCACAAATTCTTGCAAAGCTGCAGCTCTGCTGCTTTGAAGTGTGTTTTTCTTACCTTTGGCTCTGGTATGAAACGCTGGGCTGTTCTCGCTCCTATCACATAGCCTTTCTTGCTCAGTGGTTTGCTTTCCAAAGAGTATCTGAGGCTGCTGCTTCTCTGCGTTTCAAAAGCAGAAGTGTCTTACTGACATTTTTAAAACACTATTTGCATCAGGGGAGGGGCAGAAGTACGTGAGCAGCAGACGTTATTCCTATTAATTCCTCTAATTTCTCACTAATGGAGCGCACTAGGGCAGCTGGAGCTTTGAGGACTGGTGCGTTTGGAAGGGGAGGGGAAATTATTTTTCTAGGTATATATGGAGACCTTGTACAATGGTTTTGCAGGGCAGGTGTGGGGGACTCTCTGTCCAGCGGGCCACAGTCCTATTGCTCCTGTACTGTGTGTCTTCTGTGAAGGAAAAGCTCTGAGCACAAAAACTGAATAACTTACCTCTTGACTCAGGTAACAGCCTGGCCCAAGCGAAGGGTCTCCCCTGATGGCTATCAGCTGGATTCCCAGTCTGTCTGGGGCATGGTGGAGAGGGAATATTTTCCTCTCTTGACATGACCCAAATGAGATCCGCTTCTGCACATCTGTGAGACCAGGAGAGGGAAATGCCACCAATGTGATAAACCCATGCAGAGGTGACCACTTGCCGCTTTTTTTTTTTTTCCTTTTTAAGTGTCTGCTGCTGTCTGCCTGAGGCCAACCACCCCCTTATCTCCCAGATGGGAATTTCCCCTGACGTTGGATATCTGTGAGTGGTCTACCCTTCGGATGCCTGTTGCCTCCTGCCACAAAGGCTTCTTTTTCCCCAGCCTGAGCAAAGAGTAGCCTAGAAGCCTGGTTGTGGGCAAGGTTGCTGGGGAAGCCCAATGCCACCAGGGAGCTGGATGAGAAGGAAAGCTCTTGTGCCCACAGCCCCCCCACGCACCTCGCAGGGCTCACCTCTCAGCTCCCACTCCATGCTGCCCTGCCTGACGTCAGGGTGTGTGTATACTCCAGTTGCTATGGACACGGAGAAGGGGATGCTGGAGGGAAAGCTGGCAGTGACAGTGCCTGAAGGGTGCAGGGAAAAGAGGAGGATTAATAGGATTAATAACATCCCTGTGGATTGTGCTGCGCTGGCTCTTACTCTGAGGAGCTGCCGTTTACACACTGTAAGTCAGTTGAGGAGAGGTCTTGGGAGAAGCAGCCTATAGGTTGTGCTGTCAGGACCCATCTCTGTGATCTCTCTCGTGGCACAGTCTGATCTGCGCTGGTCTGTTATCTGTCTTTTTCCCTGTGCCTGTCTGTCATGGTAAGGCAGCAAAAACCCCTGGAAAATGCCATACCGCTATTAAATCCAGCTTGTGCATTCAGGCCCTTCCCTGAGCACAAGTGTAAGTATCATGAGAGAATCAGGGAGCATCAAAAGATTAAGAGTGAGATGAATTGAAACAGCAAGGACTGTTGCTTTTGCAGAACACTTTATTTAATCATTCTTATTCCATGCAATTAGATCAGAGGGGTCTGCTTGCTGTAATAGCATTGGTATCTTCATGGCCAGTTGCAGCAAGAGCAGCTGGTATCAAAGACGAGGCTGCTCTGGCAGCTCTCCACGAAGGTTTCACCATTAAGGCAGTTGTAGAAGTTGCTCTTGTTGGTTGGATCTGCATAGATGCCGTTGGCCTTGCCAGCACAGAAACCACTCCCACCAGAGCCACCAGGATTGCCACCTGAGCCCCCGCTCCCACTTCCGCTTCCTTGGTTAGGAGCTTCAGTGATTGGAGGATTGGGCTGAGCTGGAGGCACACAGTCTGAAATAAAAGCAGGAAAAGGGCTTATTTTTGTGTTGACAGTCTCTCAGCCATCCCCTCCCTCCACAGGCCCATAGGTGGTGGGGTCAGCTATTAAAGTGTGGTCCCCCAAAGGCTGGCTGGGTTCACACCAGGCCTTTGAAACATCTTGACCCAGATCCAAGTTACAATCTCCTTCTTTTATCTCAGGGGATGTAGATTGAAGGGATCTTTCCAGGGCAATCTTTAACTGTGACTTCCACAGAAAGTCTTTATCCACCAAGGCTCCAGAGATAAAGGTTCACAGGGTCTCTGAAGCCCTGCATCAGCAGCGAGCTAGGGAGTCATCTTCAAGAAGCACATGCTATTCAAGCTACTCACCGCCACTCTGCAGACCAAGACTGTTCTTCAGGGTGGTGATCAGGGGATATTTGCCTTCCTTGCAGAAAGTGCCAGTGAAGTCATCCATATCAAGGGCCCAAACCATAGCACCTCCAAAATTGTTCTTCTTCAGCCAGTCAACCTGTTCGGTGTTAGGGGAGAAATCCCAATTAGTCTGGGCACCTGCTACTGCAGAAGGCCTCCTGCCTTTTTATTAGCACAGCCACACATCCCACCATACCTTGATGTTGAAGCTCTTGATGTTGTCATAGCCAACCCATTCGCTGCCTTCGTAAGCATAGGGCACATCCTGGGGGGCATCCCAAGCCTGGGTGGCTCCAGAGTTGAGGAATGTGCAGATCTAGGAAAAAAGGGGAGAAAGGGAAAAGTTAGCAAGTGTCCTATAAAAAGGGCAGTTGGCATATTCCATGGATTAAAAATTCCTTTCTAGGTAGTTTGAAGGGTGTTTGTGTTCTTGGGGGCCTGGGTGTGTAGGAGCAGACATACCTCGTAGTAAGCCAAGAATCCAGCCTGCCTTGTGTAAGGTCCAGCTGGCCCAGGTCCTGATGTTGGTGCCCCAACAGCAGTGTTAGATGGGTTTTGGAGGTTGAAGTTATGCCCATAGGTTGGGAATCCAACAAGGAGCTTCTCAGCTGGAGCACCATTGCTCTTCCAATAGTTCATAGCATAATCCTGTAAAAAAAACACCACAGTTTTAAAGTCTGTGCCAGGATCTGGAGGCAGGAGGATGACTCTTTAAACTTCTGATCACTGGTATCATGATAATCGTCTGTGATTCACTGGAAAATATACTTACGACATTGAAGTAGATGAAGTCACCAGTGTCAGCTGGGCCTTCGTATAGAGGGCTATTCTCCCCAGTGAACCCTTCCCCAGAGGTATGGAAGTCATAAGTCATCACATGGAAGTAGTCCAAGTACCTGTGGAGAACATTGCTTGTGTCTATCTCCTGGCCTGCTCAGTCACCCAGACCTGGTTGTTCCTTTAGTGCTGGCCGTTTACCCCACCACATCCCTGGCCATGTTTCCACTTTTTGCAAATCTGGGTTCTTCAAGACTTCTCCAGAGCTGGCCTCGTAAGAGTTGGAGTCAATTCTCTCCTCCAGTGGAGGGAGGCAGAGGTCAAGGCAGAGTGGGAATTGCACTGGTGTTCTGGGAACTGAGAGACGCTCCCCAATGACTTTGAGCAGCTTGTTGTTACACTTTGCTTTCTGAGGTGTCCCCTTTCCAACCAAACAAGCACCACTCTCCTAGCATTCTTGCTTTACACAAAAGAGTGGGGACCCCAACTGCAATGAGTTTGGCTTCTGCCAGATAATGGCAGAGTTTCCCTTAACTGCTTGAAGGAAAACCACTTAATTAACAGAAATAATACCTGAGGGTTTGTTACTCACTTTCCAAGCTCAGCAATCTGGTAGCCAGCCTGAATGTTGGAAAGTCCTGCAGCAACAGCTGCGGTGATCATGAGACGAGGCTTGTTGACCTGTTGGGCTTCCTGCTCAAAGGCTGCCAGCATTTCCTGAGGAATTCCAAGAAACAGCTCTCACCATGGACTCTCTGGGCTGAGGTTTCACAGCCAGAGCTGTGCAGAGCAGGGGGCTTAACCAAGACCTTTTGTTTCAGCCTACCTTAACCAGGACAGTAAAGAGAGTCTTGTCCTGGGGTGGGCTGCCCCTGGACCCAGGGTATTCCCAGTCAATGTCCAGCCCATCAAATTGATTCTGGCGCAGGAAGCTGATGACGGAATTGATGAAGGTCTGGCGATTCTCGGGAGTGGAAACCATTGTGGAGAACCTAGGGAAGCAGAGCAGGACAGAATTGGGGTTTGGTTGGTGCCTCTTCTCCCCCCTCCCTCCCTTTCCAGGGTGCCATTATGGGAAGGAGATGGTTTGAACTTACTTGGCTGTCCCAAAATTCCATCCTCCAATTGCCAGGAGGGTCTTCAGTTTTCCATTCCTGCAAAGGGAGGAACATATTTCACTGCAAGGAATGGTTCAGCCTTACCAATTTCTAACATTACACAGCAGACCAATATAAAGCACAGTGCTTTTGCTTTTCTTGAAAATGTTTGGTGTAGCTGTCTTTTTAGGCTGTGATTTCTTGGTGTGAAACCCGAAGAGCTTGTCTGGAGCACACTGAATTGCTCTCACCATCCTCAAAGGACCGGTGCTGGCATCCTGCCCTGCCCTGCCCTCCCCTTCCTTTTCTGCCCTGTTACTTTCTGCCTCTTCTTTTTGGCATCCCTCAACCATGGACTGCACTGCCCTTGTGCAGAGGACAGATGCTGAATAACAGGGCAGGAACTGAGAGGGAAAACAAGTGATGCCCTTTGCTCTTGGTACGTACTGGTTCTTCAAGGCATTGAAGGATTTGTAAAGGGTCTCGTCGTTCCATTCGTAAGTTGTGATCTTATTGTTGGACATCCCAGCAAAGGCGTAGATCAGATGGTCACACAGGCATGGGTCGATATTGTCTGGCATGAATTTTCCAAGGCCGGGCCTATATTGGGCCCAGTTGGTGAAGTAACATGACAGCACATAGGCAGTGCCTGCAGAGAAATAGAGGAGATGCAGTCGGAAGAGAAAAGAGCAGAGAGGACATGTCTCTGAAATGCAGAAGGACCAGGTACCCAGCTGCATGAGGCCATGTTACTTCCTATAACCATCCTTCAAGTCACACAGGAAAGGGAATGGTGCCCTAGGCTGCACGTAGGAGTAAGTAAGTACATAAAGCACATCTAATCAGAAAAGATTGGGCAATGTTTCCTTGCAGGGTAAGGAGTTCAGCGGAAGTGAAGTAGGGTTGGTTATCCCTCTGGGAACTGGCTCTCCAAGGATAATAATGGATTTCTTTCCTTCCTACTTTGTTTCAGTAGATGTGTCAGTCTAGGGTCCTCTTGCACCCTTAAATTCATGAATCAGGGTGGTTCTGAGTGCTGGGTCTCTTCCCCAAACCAAATCTTTCTCCTTTGCTGCCACATAAGGAAGAACAGAGGCAGAAGGGAGCTTTGGTGAAGTGCCTGGAATGTGGAAGGCTCTTTGCATGTTTGCTGTGCTGCCTGTTTGACCTGCCTGAGAAAGCTTCTGCAAAGACCAAGCTAGTGCCTGCGCCCAAGCTTCATTCAAGCTGAGCAGGAAGGGGCTGCTATGAGGAAGCTTGTGTGAAAGCAAGCCACATATTTGCACTTTAAATTGAGCATGCCGCGCTTCATCAAGATTTTGCCTTTGGAGGCACCATCGCTGTGTGCCTGCCTGCCTCTCCTTCCTCCCCCATGGCTAGTAAAAGAATTAGCTAGTAAGTCTGTTCCAGTTGTCTGTATGTGCCAAAACTGAGAAGGTTTTGGTAGAGTTGGTTTTGGGGTAGAAAGCACGTACCTATCTGGGCGTTC